TCAGACAGCAGGCCATAGGTACACGTCACACAACAGGCCATAGGTACACGTCACACAACAGGCCATAGGTACACGTCACACAACAGCCATAGGTACACGTCACACAACAGGCCATAGGTACACGTCACAAAAACAGCCATAGGTACACGTCACACAACAGGCCATAGGTACAGGTCAACACCAGAAAGGCGTGTAAGAGCTCTCCAGTTTGGTGGATAATTCTCATAACATACATAGATGCTGGGCGGCTAATGAGCAGCAACACGGGGCGGTGATAGGAAGGGCGTAAGAGATGTGAGGATTACCTTGTTTGGTGAGTGGGGGAAGGGTGGGGGGTTAGGAGGAGGAGGTGGATGGGGCGTTCTTGCTGTCTGTTTGTCTCTCTCTCTCTCTCAGTAAAGAACAAGAAATTAGCTACTTAGATTCCTAGCCAGTTCTTTCAGCTAGTTAGTCCTCCTCGCCAGCCAGTCCTCCTAGCCAGCCAGTCCTCCTAGCCAGCCAGCCCTCCTAGCCAGCCAGCCCTCCTAGCCAGCCAGCCCTCCTAGCCAGCCAGCCCTCCTAGCCAGCCAGCTCTCCTAGCCAGCCAGTCCTCCTAGCCAGCAAATTAGGGTGCTCAATCTTGATCATAATTATTACGTGTTCACCGCATGTGCTTCCCCACACACCTGTGCTTCTCACTACACCTGTGCTTCTCACTACACCTGTGCTTCTCACTACACCTTTGCTTCTCACTACACCTGTGCTTCTAACTACACCTGTGCTTCTCACAACACCTGTGCTTCTAACTACACCTGTGCTTCTAACTACACCTGTGCTTCTAACTACACCTGTGCTTCTAACTACACCTGTGCTTCTAACTACACCTGTGCTTCTCACTACACCTGTGCATTTCTACCTTTTGTATTAATCTACCTCTCACGTCTATACACCTTCCTACATAGACACTGTATAGAGTATAGACATTGTATTTTCCTGTACATAGTGGATGTTTCTATACAACTTCAGTATATCTTATGTCCCTGTATACTTAACGTTACTAAATAAATTATTAAGTAAGGATTAAGTAATTACCCTGTATACTTAACGTTACTAAATAAATTATTAAGTAAGGATTAAGTAATTACCCTGAATACTTAACGTTACTAAATAAGTTATTAAGTAAAGATTGAGTAATTATCTGTTATTTAGCTTAATTTCATAGTAGTTATCTGAGAATTATACGACTTATATTAGGTATTTCTGTCTAATTCCTATAATTTAATGTGTTAAGGCATAATTATAGGTATAATATGTTTTTCTTTATAGTATAAGTTGGTGGAGAGTTCAGTGGTTCAGTTTTAACACCTAGTTATTATTGTTAAGGAATTAGACATATAAATGGCCTATGTGTTCAAGTGTTCATCTATTTATCACAGCTGAATGGCGGTTTGAAAATAGACTTTTAGCCATAATTTATCTAACTGGTCTCCTAACCTAACCTAACCTAACGTAGCCTAACATAAACCAACCTAACCTAACCTAACCAAACCAAACCAAACCAAACCTAACCAAACCAAATTAAACCAAACCAAACCAAACCAAACCAAGCCAAACCAAGCCAAACCAAACCAAACCAAACCAAACCAAACCAAACCAAACCAAACCACCAAACCAAATTAAACCAAAGCCAAACCAAACCAAACCAAACCAAACCAAACCAAGCCAAACCAAACCAAACCAAACCAAACCAAACCAAACCAAACCAAATTAAACCAAACCAAATTAAACCAAACCAAACCAAATTAAACCAAACCAAACCAAACCAAACCAAATTAAACCAAACCAAACCAAACCAAATTAAACCAAACCAAATTAAACCAAACCAAACCAAATTAAACCAAACCAAACCAAACCAAACCAAATTAAACCAAACCAAACCAAACCAAATTAAACAAACCAAAACAAACTACTCAAGAATGGAACGGCAACTTATTCTCCTTTACTTCCCTTCTTTGGCACGACGCTTGGCTCTCTCTCTCTTCTTACCTTCCTCCCGTCTCTCTCCTTCCCTACCTCCTCATCCGTCTCCCCACCTCCCTCCCCACTGTCTCTATCTCCGTCTACCTCTCTCTCTCTCTCTCTTCCCTACCTTCCTCCGTCTCTCTCCTTCCCTACCTCAGTACTGTCTCTCCCTCACCCTCCCTCCCCACTCTCTATCTCCGTTCACCTCCTCCTCCCCGTCTCTCCCTCTACCAGGTGCTGGGGTTTAAATCTCCCGTGGCTTCGTTTATCGTGGATAATTACCGGTTATGCTGATACAGATACCAAGTAATAAACTTTTTAGAGCTGTCGCCCTTGGCCCTGCCCTAGTCACTTCATTTCTATTCATGAGGCGGTGATGGGGCGCAGGCGGTGGTCGGGGGGGCCTTGTATGTGAGGCGGTGATCGGGGGGCCTTGTACTGTGAGGCGGTGATCGGGGGGCCTTGTACTGTGAGGCGGTGGTCGGGGGGTACCTTGTACTGTGAGGCGGTGGTCGGGGGTGCCTTTATACTGTGAGGCGGTGGTCGAGGGGCCCTTGTACTGTGAGGAGGTGGTCAGGGGGGCTTTGTACTGTGAGGCGGTGGTCGAGGGGCCCTTGTACTGTGAGGAGGTGTGGGGGGCCCTTGTACTGTGAGGAGGTGGTCGGGGGGGCCTTGTACTGCGAGGCGGTGGTCGAGGGGCCTTGTACTGTGAGGCGGTGGTCGGGGGTTGGGGGCCCTTGTACTGTGAGGCGGTGATCGGGGGCTTTTCTGTGACGGTGGTCGGGGGTGCCCTTGTACTGTGAGGCGGTGGTCGGGGGTGCCCTTGTACTGTGAGGCGGTGGTCGAGGGGCCCTTGTACTGTGAGGTGGTCGGGGGGCCCTTGTACTGTGAGGCGGTGGTCGAGGGGCCCTGTACTGTGAGGAGGTGGTCGGTATGACTGTGAGGTGGTCGTCGAGGGCCCTTGTACTGTGAGGCGGTGGTCAGGTGGGGGCCCTGTACTGTGAGGCGGTGATCGGGGGAGCCTGTACTGTGAGGCGGTGGCCGGGGTGGGAGGCCCTTGTACTGTGTGGCGGTGGTCGGGGGGGCCTTTACTGTGAGGCGGTGGCCGGGGTGGGAGGCCCTTGTACTGTGAGGAGGTGGTCGGGTGGGGGCCTTGTACTGTGAGGCGGTCGTCGAGGGGCCCTTGTACTGTGAGGCGGTGGTCGGGGGGCCTTGTACTGTGAGGCGGTGATCGGGGGGGCCTTGTACTGTATGGCGGTGATCGGTGGGGGCCCTTGTACTGTGTGCGGTGGCGGGGGGCCCTGTACTGTGTGGCGGTGGTCGGGGGGCTTTGTACTGTGAGGCGGTGGTCGAGGGGGGCCTTGTACTGTGAGGCAGGCCGGGGTGGGAGGCCTTGTACTGTGGCGGTGGTCGGGGGGCCCTTGTACTGTGTGGCGGTGGTCGGGGGGCTTTGTACTGTGAGGCGGTGGTCGAGGGGGGCCTTTACTGTGTGGCGTGGTCGGGGGGCCCTTGTACTGTGGCGGTGGTCGGGGGCCTGTACTGGAGGCGGTGGTCTGGGGGCCCTTGTACTGTGTGGCGGTGGTCGGGGGGCCTTGTACTGTGAGGCGGTGGTCGGGGGGCCTTGTACTGTGAGGCGGTGGCCGGGTGGGAGGCCCTTGTACTGTGTGGCGGTGGTCGGGGGGCCTTGTACTGTGTGGCGGTGGTCGGGGGTTGTACTGTGAGGCGGTGGCGGGTGGGAGGCCCTGTACTGTGGCGGTGGTGGGGGGGCCTTGTACTGTGGCGGTGGGGGGGGCCTGTACTGTGAGGCGGTGGTCGAGGGGGGCCTTGTACTGTGAGGCGGTGGTCGGGGGGCCCTTGTACTGTGAGGCGGTGGTCGGGGGAGGGGCCTTGTACTGTGAGGCGGTGGTCGGGGGGCCCTACTGTGTGGCGGTGGTCGGGGGGGCCCTTGTACTGTGAGGCGGTGGTCGGGGGAGGCCCTTGTACTGTGAGGCGGTGGTCGGGGGAGGCCCTGTACTGTGAGGCGGTCGGGGGGCCCTTGTACTGTGAGGCGGTGGTCGGGGGGCCCTGTACTGAGGCGGTGGTCGGGGGGGCCCTTGTACTGTGAGGCGGTGGTCGGGGGAGGCCCTTGTACTTGAGAGGCGGTGGTCGGGGGGAGGCCCTTGTACTGTGAGGCGGTGGTCGGGGGGGGCCCTTGTACTGTGAGGCGGTGGTCGGGGGGCCCTGTACTGTGAGGCGGTGGTCGGGGGCCCTTGTACTGTGAGGCGGTGGTCGGGGGAGGCCCTTGTACTGTGAGGCGGTGTCGGAGGCCCTTGTACTGTGTGGCGGTGGTCGGGGGGGCCTTGTACTGTGTGGCGGTGGTCGGGGAGGGGCCCTTGTACTGGAGGCGGTGGTCGGGGAGGGGGCCCTTGTACTGTGAGGCGGTGATCGGGGGGAGCCTTGTACTGTGAGGCGGTGGTCGGGGGGGCCCTTGTACTGTGGCGGTGGTCGGGGGCCCTTGTACTGTGAGGCGGTGGTCGGGGGAGGCCCTGTACTGTGAGGCGGTGGTCGGGGGAGGCCCTTGTACTGTGTGGCGGTGGTCGGGGGGCCTTGTACTGTGTGGCGGTGGTCGGGGAGGGGGCCTTGTACTGTGAGGCGGTGGTCGGGGGAGGGGCCCTGTACTGTGAGGCGGTGGTCGGGGAGGGGGCCTGTTACTGTGAGGCGGTGGTCGGGGAGGGGGCCCTTGACTGTGAGGCGGTGGTCGGGAGGGGCCTTGTACTGTGTGGCGGTGGTCGGGGGGGCCTTGTACTGTGGGCGGTGGTCGGGGGGCTCTGTACTGTGTGGCGGTGGTCGGGGAGGCCCTTGTACTGTGAGGCGGTTGTCGGGGGGCCTTGTACTGTGAGGCGGTGGTCGGGGAGGCCTTGTACTGTGTGGCGGTGGTCGGGGGGCCTTGTACTGTGTGGCGGTGGTCGGGGGGGCCTTGTACTGTGTGGCGGTGGTCGTGGGGAGGCCCTGTACTGTGAGGCGGTGGTCGTGGGGGCCTTGTACTGTGAGGCGGTGGTCGGGGGGCCTGTACTGTGAGGCGGTGGTCGGGGGGCCTTTGTACTGTGTGGCGGCGATGATCTTCCGTCTGTTTCGTTTTCTTGATTCTTCTTTTTGTCATCTTGTTTCCCTTCTTCTTTTTCCTCCTGTTCCTCCTGTTCCTCCTCCTCCTCCTCCTCCTCCTCCTCCTCCTCCTCCTCCTCCTCCTCCTTCTGCTGGGGAGGAAGGTGACTCAGGTGATGTACACAAATTATACTCTTCACCTAAGCATTAATCACAGGTACATATCTTCCCATTAAAAGTACACAGGTAAGACTTATATTCCTTAGGTTAGGTTTAGTTAGGTTGTTAAGTTAGGTTAGGTTATCCCACAGTGATTGTCCCTTTAAACAGGAGTTATATGTACAATAATACAATACTAAACTACAATACTAACAATTACAATACCTACAATCTAATAGTTGTTTACGCCTCTACAATACTACAATGTTACACTGCTACTGGTTCCACCTCTCCCCACTCCCCCCCACCCCCGCCTTGTTTATTTACATTCTTGGACTTGATAAATCGCTCGAGTACAACAGGCGGGGGGCATATCACCCCTTGGTTACAATGGATGAGTACCTATGTATCAAGATCAATGGTGGTAGTGGTGACAGTGTACCTAGAGCCCAATGGTGGCTACTAGGTATCAAGATCAATGGTGGTAATGGTGGCAGCGTATCCAGAGCCCAATGGAAGCTATGTACAATGGTGGTAATGGTGGTAGTGGTGGCAGCGTACCCAATGCCGAGTGGTACCAATGTAAATACTGGGTAATTATTGTTTATTTTTTTGTATGTGTCTAAGTTCGTGGTTTTGTTATGGTACTAATGACCATTGGAAATACTGTTGAATATTGTAGTGCCTTCCAATGGTACCGAGGTCGCTAAAAATCACAAAAAATCTCTGGGAAACTATAATGCTCCAGTGGTGCCAGGGAATCAAATCTCCAATAGTGAGATCTATAACATTCCAATGGTTATCACCACTACCAATTAAATCCCAATGGTACTTAATCTCTGTTAACAACTACCACTATTACCACCACACTCTACCACAACCACTACCATCACCACTACACCACTATACCACCACCACCACCACCACCACTTTCACTGTTCTAAGATATGACCAACAGTGACACCTCTCCCCACGCCCTGCTCGTAATCTCCCCTCCCTCCCCCTCCTCCTTCCCTCCCCACCAAAAAACGAATATTCATATATCTTTTAAGAGGGTAGACTAATGTGAGCAGGAACTATGAGAGGAGGAGGATTATAATAACTACTGTAGCACTGTGTGGGAGGGGGGGGCAGGGGGAGGAAGGGAGGAGGGGGGAGGGAGGGATTAGGGCGGTGCAGAATTAAGGGTATTTTAGGTCACTGTTTTATGTGTGTGTGTGTGTGTGTGTGTGTAGATATAGAGACACACACACACACATACTGGTCAGTGTAGCCAGATCAGGGAGGCACCACACACACTGTCCAACAAATCACTACTTCCTCAGCTATCTCTGACAGCTATCTTGTTCAGTCTCTTGATCGTTATCTCGCTTCCTGCTGGAGATTATTATTATTATTATTATTATTGGTATTATTATTATTATTGTTATTATTATTATTATTATTATTATTATTGTTATTGTTATTATTATTATTATTATCATTATTATTATTATTATTATTATTATTGGTATTATTATTATTATTGTTATTATTATTATTATTATATTATTATTATTATTGTTATTATTATTATTATTATTATTATTATTATTGTTATTGTTATTATTATTATTATTATTATTATTATTATTATTATTATTATTATTATTATTATTATTATTATTATTATTATTATTATTGTTATTATTATTATTATTATTATTATTATTATTATTATTATTATTATTATTATTATTATTATTGTTATTATTATTATTATTATTATTATTATTATTATTATTATCGCTACACAAAAAACATTAATCTTACATCTTATTATTTATTTATGAACTTATTCAGTTATTCACGTTTACATATTTGTATTTATTTATTTTCCATTTTTACATAATTTCCATGAATGGTAATGGAGGGTAGGCGCTAGGCGGGGCTTCCTGACCTGGCCCGGCGTGATGTAAATCGTTTACTCTCATGTAAATCGTAACGAGGAGGGTCAGTTACACGGCCAGTTGGACCTGATTTATAAGTTACTCGGGGTGCGTCAGGCAGCTCAATGTACGCCTCTCCTGACTGGTTGATTTACCAGACTGAATGATCTGTTGACTTTGTGTGGATATTAGTAGAGAGATTGGCTGGCTGGCTGACTGACTGACTGACTGACTGATTAACTGACTGATCAACTGACCGATTAACTGACTGACTGATTAACTGATTGATAATGTTTTTTCCTACTTGGCTCTAGGTGACACACCTCCCCCGTGGCCTTGTCTAGCCTGGAGTTCCCAAACACTACAGGAAATTGATTGTATCTGAAGTTGCTTTAGAATGAACAGTAAAAACTCTCTCTCTCTCTTATTTATTTATTTATTTATTTATTTTGATCTCTTTCTCTCTTTCCATATATACTCTTTCTTCTTTTTTCTTTCTGTAACAAAATGCACTTTGACTATGAAATCTTGAGCCCACTTACCTGAGAGAGAGAGAGAGAGAGAGAGAGAGAGAGAGAGAGAGAGAGAGTCGCACCTGCCCCACAACACATAACATACCTGGCAGGGCTTCCTGTCCTTCTCCAGTTATCAATTACCTTATTCTTCCCCCTTTTTTATTTTCTCCTACTTCCCCAACTTATCACACCTTCTCTTCATTACCTTAGTGTTATCTGATAATCGTATAGAATCTGTATGACTTTTAATGGCGTTTAATTGTGACTAAAACATATTTTATAACGCCTAGATAGCAACCCTATTCCTTGGTTTCTTTATTACTCAAAATAATACCTAGATTTATCTCACGGGTTATCAGTCCTTTTCGTACATTTTCAAAACACATCAATAAATTCGTTCATTTTTCTCTCCCTTACTATAACTAACTACAAACAGTAAGTACATCATTGCTTAAAGAAAAATACCACTTATTTATGATAGAAAAACCAGACGGGAGGTGTTATATTGTAATGGTAGTATGTGTTAAGGTTATGTTATCGATATGTTTTTTATGTAACACGGATTTATTGGTTCGGCGGTCGATATGTTTTGAAGGTTGTGTTGGCGTCCTCCAGGTGGGTAGGTGAGGACCCGCTGGCCTTCCACATATGTATTGTTCCTTCAGTCATTACGGCAAATTAGGAGCAGGTGTAATTATTCAAGAATGATGGAGATAAGATGTGATAATTTATTTGTGGCTCTGTAATGCTGAGGTGTTTCTGGAAGCCTGTAGAAGGAGGTAAAATGGATTGATAAACGTGAGAGAGAGAGAGAGAGAGAGAGAGACTTTTATTACCTCTTAGCTAGGTGACCAGAAACCGAGTTATGTATTTCCTGTGAACTTCTGGCCAGGACAGACGGCCTTAATGGCTCTCTGTGTAGATGATACTGACGAGAGAGAGAGAGAGAGAGAGAGAGAGAGAGAGAGAGAGAGAGAGAGTCCTTTACCCATGGTTTTTCCGTGAACACACAGACACACGTTCACTATTCAACTACAAAAGGACAGTCGTTCATTCACTGGGAGTTTCTTTTAGTTTAACTGTTAGGTTGTGTTAGAATAGGTTAGGTTAGGTTAGGTTAGGTAGGTTGTGTTAGAATAGGTTAGTTAGGTTAGGTTAGGTTAGTTGTGTTAGAATAGGTTAGGTTAGGTTAGGTAGGTTAGGTTAGGTTAGTTAGGTTAGAATAGGTTAGGTTACGTTAGGTTAGGTTAGGTTAGGTTAGGTTAGATTTCAAGTTGGAAAATTAGTGTGACATACACCCTCATTATCCCTCTGTAACTCATTACCTTAACGACCCTTAACGACCTCGTCCAGCATATCAAACTGGACCCCTTAAACGACCCCATTATTCCTTGTGCTCCTCTGAGGCTCCAAAATGGGTGGAAAGAGCATCAATAATAGGCCTAATGGGGAGGAGGGAGAGAGGGAGGGTGGAGCGAGGAAGGTGGAGGAGGGAGGGAAGGAGGGGGGCAGTGGGAGGAAGGGGTCAAGAGGAAGAGAAGCAGAAGGAGGAGGAGGAGGAGAAGGGGGGTGGATGGGAGGGGAGGAGGGAAAGGAGGAAGATAAATTGAAGGGCAAAATTGAATGGTATTTAGCGAGAGAACAACAACAACAACAAGGAGAACAAGAACTAGAAGAACAACAACAAGGAGAACAAAAAGGAGAACAAGAACAAGAAGAACAACAAA